CTGTAGTCCTTGGATTTTGCATGACCGAGGTTATCTTTGATAAAAAGTTGAAGTTTGTCAAGCCCTTAAATTTAAAAAAAAACAGGGCCAAATCGCACAAATAATAATAAACTTTTTATCAGGGTGACCCTAAAACAAAAAGGTCACAGTGTATGTTTTTGAGCATATCATTTTGAAGATTTTACCTCTGGGCTATTGTCATAGTCCTTAAATTTATTGTTTAAAAAAAGAAAAACAAAAAACAAACCACAAAAGCAGTCTAGAGCAAAAGTAATGTGCTTGTTAACTCATCGTAAAGTTTGACAGTTTGTTATGTATGGACAGTTTTCAACAATGGCCGATGTTGTTGTTTGAAATTATGTGTTGTTTTGGTTTTTTAAGGTTAGTTTCATTATTGTGGTAGGTGATAAACTTTTATAAAACTCCAGTTTTGAATTTCTAAACTAAATAAACCATTCAGTTAGTTATACAAACAAATTGTTGAATCGTAAATTAAAGCTTTGTTTTTTGTTTTCATACCTATGCATATTTATATAGGGGTAGTTTTGTCATATTTGCGTAAATCCGGCTTTGATTTGAGCATTTTGTCCTCTCATCAACAGTTTTATCAGTATAATTTTTTTTTCATATCTATCTTATAATTTTGCAAATATGATTATTTGCTCAAATCGGAACTATACATTTGTTCCATGTTAATGAGTTCATATTTTAATATTTATGCCTGTTTTTATTTATTTATTAATATTATTTTACACTAGTATCCACATAATACAACAGGCTTTTGCTTAAAGTAATGTTTAGTTAAGTAGGTAGTTATTAAATTTTAAATTATCGTGCTCTTGCTCCAACAAAAGGCGTTTTCGATATTATTAATACTTCTAAATTCTAATTCTAAATTGTGATTAACTGTGACCTAAGGGAAAGGGGGATACCCGCTGCATTAAAAACCCTTGACCGTGGGATGTATTAACATTTTATAGGGTGGACCATTGGTGGATTTTTTAATAAATAGTCAATGTTATCACAACAATTTTGCTATATTATTCCCTTTAAGAACCTGTTCCAGTTTATAAACTATCTGCGCAAAGCCAGAGCAAACACGTGGAAATTTGTTGAGACCTTTGCCAAATGGAATTTGACAGCCCAACAGGTGGATGTTAGGGATTGTGCCTTGTTCCCAAAACTACATTTTCTGTGAATTTAATCTTTAATATATTGATATCACCAGTTCAAGCAAAATTGGTTCAAAAGGAGGTAAAAAATATTTTAAAAGTTTATTTTTTAATTTATAAGAACTGCATTTTGATAAAATAAGATTAAGTTTAATGCTGGTTATGGATAATTTATTTTATCTAACAATAGCTTTGTGGCCAAATTATGTAAAACAAATGAGATAAAAAATATTGTACTTACCTTAGTTAATTGTTATGTTTATATCATTGATTGGAACTAGTAAAAATCATTTATTTTTTTAATTTTATTTATTGTTTAATTCATTCTGGAATCATAGAAATTACAATTTTGAATGGTAATTCTGTAAAATAAAACAATAGTATTATATTTTTATTTTATATTTTATAAATATTTACCCTTTTTATTCTCCTTCCTTTAAATGTTTCTTTCTATTATTTTTATTTATATTTTTTTTTTATCTGAAGTAAATTTTTTAATTATTGTAACAAGTTATGTAATTTAAATATATAGAGAAATTATCTTTTTAAACATGATGCTACAGGTGGCATTGATCATTCTTTTAGTTCCCCTTATCCACCATTGACCCTTTCTGTTAAAAATAAATGCTTTTTTCATTTGATTTATTTCAGCTACAAAATCTTTGGCTAAAATTAAATATTTAACACAGAATTTAAATTAGGTTGTTTTTCTTACTAAGGAAGTTTAATTGCCCCCATCTGAGTTTTAATTTTTCATGTATGGCTTATAGAATTACTTTATCCTGGTTATGGCCTGATTCCTTCTCTTTCTCCTCTAGGAGAAGGATCTCCTCCTCAAGGAGCATTTATCTAAAATTAAGTTGCAACTCATGTTAATAGTTTTTCTTTGTTTTAACTTACATTAGAAAAGGATTGTTGCTCCATATCTAATAAAATAAAAAATACATATTAGGATTGTGATGGGCACGGGGTGGGGGTACCCCATACTCATGAAAACGGCAGTAACCCAAGGCGATTTAAAAAATTGCGCAAACTTAATTTAAATCTCGACAGCGCAAGCAGCGTTGTCAAGTTTGGCCAAAACGTGATCGTCTAGTAAATCGAAAAGAATGCCCTAAGTTGTGTCACTTAAGTTCGCTTCTAAATAAGTGGGGTGCAATGAGAGGAGACAAGATTAAGTAATAAAAACACAATAAGCATGGTGGTTATCTTTCTATTGAACAATGTAGTTTTTACAATGTGTGTTATTTATTATTTTTGAGTTTTGGAATGTCGTTGACTATTTAATTTTCGTTCTCCTTAGTGGGCTACTTATCTGAGTACAAATGTTGTGGGTTATTCTTTAGAGTTTGTTTCCCCAAGTTAAGTAAATGTAAAATTAGGAATAATAAAAATATAACACCCTTACCATTCCAAAATTTGTATACTCTAAGGTAGGTACATAAAAAGTAATCAAATCCCAACCATGTATGCTCTAAGGTAATATTTACCATTGAATATAAATTATTGTTAATGATTTTAGCAAACCGTCCATCTAATATATCAAACCCCACTTTCAATTCACTTTCATACCGCAAAGCACCTTTCGTATCATTCATACCACATAGCTAAATAAATACAATCAATGAAATCAAATAAATAGAAATGTCGGATTTAGGTAGGCACCCATCCTCAAGCGGACCTTAGTCCACCCCCTAGGGTTTTGACTTGAGAAGGCACCCCCCATTATAGTTTTGCTCATGTAAATTTTTCAGTTACTACATAACGAACTATAATAACATTATATTTGTAAAGAACGATAACTATAATAGTGAGCTGCGTGCAAAGAGAATAGCTGCATACCGAATAACACCGTGTGTTAAATAAAATACATCCTAGGCTCTTTCATACTACGGTTTAATCTATTAGACAGAATAAAAAAACCACGCCCTTGCTCTACAAAGAACATACATGTCTGAGTTCCCTGCCGGTTGCTTTATTGCATCATTTACACCCACTAATAAACAACAAATGCTAGGATAACTATTAAAATAAAAAGAAAAACAGATCTGGTTTCCTTACCTAGAGTTCTTTCTACACGCACCAAAACAATTAAAACTACGGCGTCAGAAACTATGACTTCTCTATGCTGCGGTACTCACTCGAATGATTCTTTTCCCCCCTCGTTCTGTTTTTCCTGGTCAAAACTTACCCGTAGCAACCGCTCGCCGGCAAACGCCCTTATTGGTTGGCGTTATAAAAAAAACCTGTTGGTTTGCTTACATTCCAAGACTCCCTAACTTTACAATACAAGCTAATTTAGTCGATATAATTTTAAAGAAAATAACTTGACAGAGACGGACTTTCGCGAGCTCGGTTTTACAGGACCCTATTCGAAATATTCATAGCATACTAAACTAGCTGGGCGTTATATAATTCAAGTAGAGATTTTAAGAAAGGCCAACACTGTACAATGTTTACTTGGAAACATTGATTTTAAATGCAGATGTATTCCTTGTTGTTGTTTTTCTCGTTTTACGGATAGCAGTTCAACACAGGATATAACAAAATTTGTAAATTTAAATTAAAAAGAAACCTAATAAAGCTAGTCTGATATATTGGTTGTGTATGCCTCGACTAATGGTGTAAACACGATTAAATTTTGGGAGTGACTAGTGCACTGTCTAGACAGTGCGCTATAAAAAATACCTGCTCTGTCCAGACAGTGCAGTTTAAAAAATACCTACACTACAAATATTTGGAGGTTATGCTTACTCTGAGAAATACTTACTGAACAACACCTTGCTGTTACACAGTGTAACTTACACTAGAGTCTGCATCGCGTACAGTACATCGCACAAATCCACCACAGCTTATGCGCATGTACACAAATATTTTATGCAGTTCACAATTGTGTGGATTGTGATGCAGTTATTAGTTTGACAGTAGCTTATAAAATATTAAATAATTTTTAACATACGGCAAAAACTGTTGGTATAGGAAGATAAAAAGGTATGCAGTTTAAACCATAGAAAAAGTATATAGACATATAACCAAGGAAATAACCAAAAATCAATGTAAATCGATATAATAAAAATAATCAGATAATAAAAGATATATGATTTTAGTGAGGTTAGGATAGAATAAAAGAAAAAAAGAAACTCAGGAACTCCAATGCTTGATACCATAACTTCATTTTAGTAAAGCAGTCAAAAACAAACAAACGTAGAATATTTTAATGGTAGTTATTATTTCAGACTTTTTTGTTGCAGATCGAGTTGCAGATAAACTTTAAATAGAAAGTGTTGTTTCGAGGTAGAGAAGAAAAATTAAACAAACCAACTTGAAAAGTGGCTAAAACATAAATATTTTTTTTTATTTGTTTTTGTGAAATTATATAAATATTTTTAAACTAAGATTAATATATTATAAACATCTTATATTCTGGCTGGGACGTTAGTCAATAGCCCTTTAATTATATCAATAAAGAACTTTATTATATTTTTTGTAAATTTTTTAACAAAAAAACTTTTTTATAAAAGGACACAATCCAAGACACAATGCTGCAAATTACTGATTTCTGTTTAGTAAGGGTTTACATAAATTAAAATTAAAAAACATGAAATAACTTGTTTTTATTATTAAAACTTAAGTGTTACATTAATAGATTCATTGCTATTTTATCATGTTCGTTGGAGTCAACAGGCTTATCAAACTTATTATCCTGCTTCTTTGATTTGTGCTTTCGTGCAGTGGAAAATAATCTCTGGGGTTTAATGTTGCCTCTCCTAAAATCACCTTTGGGCACAAAGGATTTTGTGTTTAACTTCCTGTTTAACGCGAACTGCTTCAAGGTTTGGGGTCTATAGATGAGCTGATTTTTATAAGGCAATCTATTTCCTCAATCGATCTGGTACTTCTAACAATTTCAGAAATATGTTCTATCAACTGATCTTGTTTTTTGTTAAGGGTGCTTGCTTTATCATGTTGTACTTGCTTTTTGCTAAGTTCCTGCAGAATTGTGCCAACTTGTGGACCAGCGGGCTCGTTAATAACCAAATTTTCGGAATCTTGGAAAGAGAAAAATAATTAATATAAAATCAATACAATTCAACTAATGCCAGTTGAATTTTTAATAATTTTCATTTTATAACTAACAGAGCCAAATAAAATTGTTTTCGTCCTATACCAAAAAGATAAATAAAATAGCAAATCTTTCAGATTACTTATACCTATAGCCTATATATATATAGGCTATAGGTATGATAAAAAAATCCAGCCTTCACCTGAACATGCCAACAAAGTTTTAAGGTTAGTAATCTATAGAATAAATTTTCAAGACAAAAATCTGATAGCTAACTAACCCATTACCATAGTTATTATTATTCACTAATTAGCTAATTATTACCGTTGCCAGAAATTTTAAAAACAGTTTTCGCAACTCACGTTTACATTGTATTATGTATTGTACATTGTATGTGTCCCTGGATAGGTAAAATGACTTGTAAAATCCAAAAAAAAAAAAATTAAAATCAATTTTTATTTTCGGGGGTATTAAAAAAACTATTTTTTGTATAGGTAAAGTGCCTTTCATATGCGATATACGACAACATATTATTAAAAGAAGTTGTTTACCTTTACCAACTTTCATAATTCTTGGCCTACATTGATTTTTATTTTTTTTACTACCTAGATTTTTACAAAATCAAAGTGGGCAAGAATTTTTAAATTTGGTATAAGGGACTAAATGTTAATTCTAAACTACTTTTTTTATAATATTTTGTCGTATTTCCCATATGAAAGGCACTTTACCTACACAAAAAATAGTTTTTTATTATTTTTAAGGCATACCTACTTAATTTTTCAAAATTTAAATTATGTTGAAAATTAATCGTTTTCAAGCAGGGCTGAACCCCCTAAAATAAAAATTGAATACAATTTTTTTGTTGGATTTTACAAGAGTCGTTTTGCCTATCCGGGGACACAATGTATATATAAATATATATGTATATATACGAGCCCAGAATTCATATCATTTTACCCAGTCAATATTTTATTTTTTACATTATTTTAGACAATATAATATATTATAATAATAGTTGGATTCAATAGATTTTTCTTTTGTGTTTACCAATATTATCTGAAATAATGTAAAAAATAAAATATTAACTGTGCCAAATGATATGATTCTGGGCCACGAATGGACTTACCTATACTTGTAAAAATATTTATTTTCAATTTTTCGAAAAAAAAAATCATTCTTTATAATTTATTTTGCTTATTATATAAACATTGAGTAAAGAAGTGGGGAAGAGGCGTGGTCTAATGTATTTAAAATAACTCCAAAATCGATCCTCGTTGTTAGAGGCGCCACCGTCGATTTTATCTTGAGATTTAAATTCTAAATTAGAGTGAGACCGTTAGAGTGATACAATAAGAAACGCGTCGTCATCAGCATCCCCACTTTCTATGCAATGCGCGGCGGCCGCGCCGGTCGCATGCATCGTGAAGACTAACGTCTAGCCGCTACCGTAACAAACTATCCCAGCCGTTCTAGAAACTTTTCTGGTGGAATATGTTGGTACTCTTTCTCTTTTTTGTTTCTAACCCTACTTTTAGTTGTCAAAATACATAATTAGCCGTTTAGAGAAAATAAGCACAGTTTACAAAAGGTTCGTATAAAAAATACTACTTTTACGTCTTTATAATAGTTTTTTTAATTGTAGAACATCATAAATCTGGTGCTTTGAGTTGGTATGATGTTTATAAAGCTTTCCCACCTAAAGAAGCACCTAAATTCGATAGGCATGCACCTAAAATGAAGCTTAAAACGATTTTCTACAGAGGATAAAGCTAGCGTAAGTATTAATAATTACTTTGAAATGTCTTTTTTGTTTCTAACCCTATTTTTAGTTGTCAAAATACATAATTAGCCGTTTAGAGAAAATAAGCACAGTTTACAAAAGGTTCGTATAAAAAATACTACTTTTACGTCTTTATAATATATAACTATATATATTTATAATATATAACTATATATTGATAAAGGGTACATTGTCACCTCCAAAACGGAGACCCTTCATACGTTGTGACCTCATATATGACGCTGTGACCTCCAAATTCGGAGGTCACAGTGTTTAACCATATTTTTGACATTGGGGGAGTGTCAGTAATCAATCTGTGCAAAAATATTTCGGAGGTCACTTTGACCCCCCAGTCTCTTAAAAAGGAACTTTTAGTTTCACCATATATGAATTGGCGCTAGTGTCGCTTTTTAATCAGATTCAGCCACACCAAAGTAACCTCCGTCATGTATACCTACATTTGTTACCTCCGAAATTTGGCAACCTTGCAATATCTCGCGCAGTCATAGATGTTCAGACTTGATGATCTTTAATACTTCTTATATGTTATTTGTTACGCAGTTTCGCATGCATTATATTTATAGAAATGGATATTGTAAAATAATTCTTTTAGATTTAGACGATATAGACCAGGGTCGATAATTTTTTAAACCAAAAAAAATAACAGTAGGATGAAACCCATTGGAAAAGGAGAAGAATATAATAAAAATGAAAGGAAAAATAAATTACGGGCGATCTGACTTCGGGAAGTGGGAGGGGGGGGGGGTTTTAAGGGTAAAAAATGGTTTATCTCGATTTCCGGCAAAACTACAAGTCCTATGGAAAAAAGTTAAATGGCAAAGTTGTAGGTAATAAAAGGATCTACAACTTTTCTAATTACAATTTTTTTACATAACCTCAAAATGTATGTGAAAAATTCAAAAAACCAAGTTTTTGGTTTTTTATTTTTATCTTTTTCAAAAAAAAAATTTTTTCCAGGAAATTTGGTGAAAACTTACCTTTTTATGTCACAAATACACTGTAATTTATTTGATTTGAAATATTTATTATTTCGCCTTATTTTGACTTAATATCAAAAAGCACCCTAATTTTCAATCGAAAATTCTCGCGTCAAAATATCAGCTTTTTCAAAAAGTCGGTGTGCTTTTTGTTCGTTGAAATCTCTACTTTCTGATAGTGTAAAAAAATATACATTACTATGGTAAATGTTCTCAGAAAATGCAAAAAATATTATAATGAATAACGAAAAAAACTCGAATTCGAAAATTTATTTTAATCATTATGTACAATTTCATCAAAAAAATGTGATTGTTGCAATTTTTTTAGTTAAAAAGTTTATTTATTAAATTCTAATAACATTTATGTCAGAAAATCTCATAAAATATAAAAATACATGTAAATCATACTATTGAATTTAGATACTTCATTCTGATTACGTTATTCATTAGGTATAATATGTTTTGTATTTTCTGAGAACATTTACCATAGTAATGTATATTTTTTTACACCATCAGAAAGTAGAGAGTTCATCGAACAAAAAGCACACCGACTGTATTTTCTGAGAACATTTACCATAGTAATGTATATTTTTTTACACCATCAGAAAGTAGAGAGTTCATCGAACAAAAAGCACACCGACTTTTTGAAAAAAGCTGATATTTTGACGCGAGAATTTTCGATTGAAAATTAGGGTGCTTTTTTGATATTAAGTCAAAATAAGGCGAAATAATAAATATTTCAAATCAAATAAATTACAGTGTATTTGGGACATAAAAAGGTAAGTTTTCACCAAATTTCCTGGAAAACATTTTTTTTTTGAAAAAGATAAAAATAAAAAACCAAAAACTTGGTTTTTTGAATTTTTCACATAAATTTTGAGGTTATGTGAAAAAATTGTAAATACAAAAGTTGTAGATCTTTTTATTACCTACAACTTTGACATTTAACTTTTTTCCATAGGACTTGTAGTTTTGCCGGAAATCGAGATAAACCATTTTTTACCCTTAAACCCCCCCCCTCTCACTTCCCGAACTCAGATCGCCCGTAATTTATTTTTCCTTTAATTTTTATTATATTCCCCTCCTTTTCCAATGGGTTTCATCCTACTGTTATTTTTTTCTCTTTTTACCATTTTTAAAGGCTTCTGCACTGGTCTAATACTAGTAATGATGAAATCATTACCAAAAAAGATAAAGAATTTAAACAAAAAAAGTACAAAATGATTTTAACACATAAAATGTGTTTAAACAATATTTTTTACACACACAATCTTTTTTCACTTTTATTTGTTTTAAAATGTGTTATTATTTTTAGGCTGCACAAATATGGAAATAGGGTTAATAATTATTAATAATAATAATAATTTAAAGGATAAATTCCTTAACCATATTAAAAATATATTTATTCATCTAGCAAAGAAATTAAATCTTTTCTAGAACAAACGAAAATAAAAAGAAGTGTATCCCTTATTAAAGCCAAAGTCCAACACCTTAAGAAAAACGAAAAAAAAACATTAATTAGTTACCCTTATGATAATTATAATAATTATTATTCATAACTATTTTAATAGATAAAAATGTTTTACTTTACTTATGTTTTTTAATTATCCCTATTTATTGTTTACTTAAATTTCTTTTCTTATATTTTTATTAATATAATAATAAAAATATCAAAAATACTAAAAAACATATTAAAAATAAAAATATTAAAAATAAAGAAATAATTAAAAAAGTAAAATTGATAAAAATAATAAAAAAGTATACTAATAAATATATTCAAAATGATTGGGTATAATAATTATTAGAAAAATTAATAAAAATAATAAAAATTGTAAAAGGAATATAAATAATTGAAGTAGATACCTACGTAATAAAAATATTAACAAAAAAATAATTATAATAAATATAGTAAAAATAACAAAAAAATTAGAAAAATAATACAAAAATACAATTGAAATATTAAAAATAATAATAATATCTACTAATAAATAAAACAACAAAACTTACCTATTTATAATAATAATATTAATATTAATAATTCTTTCAAAAGTCAATCGGTTTGAAAAGTTTTTAAAAAACTACTTGCAAGCAAAACAGTACATATACAATGTGACCCATTTTTTTACAACTCACCCCTGTAAAATCATTAATTATTGTGCGATTTTAACCGGATTTGTTTTAAGGTGTAGATCTTGATAAACTGTATAT